CAAATGAAGCAATCCAGCTAGTGAGGTGATAGAGTTTAAAGGAGAGTGTCTAGTTAACTGATCAAAGTAGTACATGTCTTAAACCTAGAGGGAAAAATCTTGCCAGTTGTGGAAACCATTTTACAAAATCACTTTTATGGACAACAAGGAGACATCAGCAGAAGATAATCCAACATTGTACAATTTCCTTAGTAGAAACAATATAAGTTGTGGCATTTGATGCAACTTTCTGTCTTCTCCATCTATTAGCTGTTGCAGTTGACAGAGTGGACTACCACCAACCCCACGCACCCCAGGCCTATCTCATTTGAATGTGTTAGTAATGATCTACATTGTTTATTTCCAAACATTTATTTCAGCTTGTGTTTTATATCTGTAGCATTGGGTGCATGCCACCGAGCACTGATGTCATTTTATTTTATATACTATACTTTTAACAAACCTATAATTTAATGTGTAATTAGCACCATGATCTGTATTCAAATATAATGTATGCTTCATACATATACAGACTGCTGATTATGACTGACCTATTTTTTCCTGTACAGACTTTTTAAACTGACCTAATTTAAAACTTATATGATTATCTTTTCAGAAGGATGAGAACGACCTTGTTATTTCTGCGCCAGATGCACATTAAGTTTCATCTAATGCATTAAAACAAGCAATCACCGTTCTTATTACCATACAGCATATTGATTTCACTTTTAGTCGAAGCATTTTCCCTGCAGATATTACAAGAGATCACGTCTCAAAAACATTGCAATCATTGTGTAATAAAAACAAACTCTTCTCTTGTGAGCAGGAATTGTTATGAAAGATGTAAACAATGGTAAAGAATTTGCTCTTTTTAAAACCCTTTCAATTCTTCACCCATGGCATAAGCAATACTCTCCACCATAGAGATAAATAAATACATATATATCTAGAGAAACTGCTATGGATCACTTTGGATTCACTTTGAATTCCCACTTTAGTGAAAAACCGTTATAAGAAATCCTCTCCAAAAATTTTACAGGTGGCAATCAGCATTGGTATCCTAATGTATCTCTGGGTAATGCCACAGAACACTGGCAACTTGGCAAGCATCTTTGGCTACTAGCCACCAGGGATGGACTGGCATTGTGATGTATTTTCATGAATGGAGCTAATGGCGATACTTTGGATACTCCCCCACCATAACCTGTAAGGTATATGTAGAAGGATAGGTAGGATAGAACCACCCCAAGTATAATGTGCTACCATAGGAGGCTTAGTTGAACAGTCCCAGATTATTTCCTGCTATTAGTAGTGACTGCCTGGGGGATCAGCAGCGGACCATAAACGGAGATCTGTAGAGAACGCAGTAATTATCAGCTTGTTGAGGTTTCATGGGGATTGCACCAAAATGTGGTGCAGCTGTAATATATGATTTTGTTCTTCATTAAGGTTTAGTGCTATGCTGTGCTGTTAACTACCAGATGCAGAAAGCTGCTGAATGAACATTTTTGGCATAAATTACTTAGAACAAGGTTCATAGAGCTTCTCTCATATAGTTCGCAGAAAAAAATAATGCATTGAATTCTTTATTAACTCAGTCAATAATGAAGCAACCAATGCTTGGTATTTACTACAGTCCAGCATTTAATTCACACCTTCTGTCATACATCTAGAATTAATTTGGGTGCAAAATAATATAACTCAGCGGTTCCCAAATTGTGTGCGGTGGCACCCTGGGGCGCCATGATGGGCACACAGGGGGGCCACAAGATATTTTCCCAGTTCTATGATCATAGCACTGGGAACCGTGCCTTCCTCTTCCCTGCCGGCTCTGCAGCACTGGAGGGGAGATCAGAGATCTCTCTCTCCGGCTCGCCCGCAGTGTAATGCTGCAGCCGGAAGGTGAGGGAGGGAGAGTGGACCCGGGCTCTGCCGGGCTCTCCTCTCGCGAGCTCAGAGCGTTGCCGCGGGCTCTAAATCTCGCGAGAGTGAGGTCTAGCAGCTCCTGAGGACTACCAGGGAGTGCAGGAAATGTACCCCACAGGCAAAGGTAAGCAGGGCGGGGGGATATGAAAAGTATTATTTTTAATTTAAAAAAAATTATGTTTATGATATTGCCCTCCCACCCCCACAGACCCCACACCATACAATAACTCCCCCCATACACACACACTCTCCCAATACAGAAACACATTACCCCGCATACACACACACTGCCCCATACACACAATTACCCCCATAAACAAACACACTGCCCCTCATACACAAACACACTGCCCTCATACACACAATTACCCAGCCATACACACAATTGACTGGCCATACACACACACACACACACACTGCCCACCATACACTCAATTGTCCCTCAATACACACACTGCCCCCATACACACAATTGCCACCTATAAACACACACACTGCCCCATACACAAACACATTACCCTCCATACATACAATTACCCTGCCATACACACAATTACCTGGCCACACACACACACTGCCTCCCATACACACAATTACCCCCAATACACACACTGCCCCCATACACACACACACACACACACACTGCCCCCATACACACAAACACTGCCCCTCATACACACAAACTATACCCCTCACACACACTCTACCCCTCACACAACCTGCCCTCCACATACACTGTACCACTCATAAACACACTTTACCTCTCATACAACCTGCCCCCACACACACTGCCCCCACACACACACACACACACCTCATGCACAAGCTGCCCCACACACATGCACACTGCACCCCTCACACACATGCACACTGCACCCATCACACGCACTGCACCCCTCACACACACACACGCACACTGAACCCCTCAAGCACACGCACCCCTCACACACACTCCACCACTCTCTCTCACACACACACATATTGCACCCCTCACACACACTACTGCCCCTATCCCCTTCTACAGCCCCTATCCCAGCAGATTCCAGGTAAATTGTCAAACTGTTCTTAAACAGTTTTACTACTTACTCTGAGAGGGCACTACTGCCACAATAACCACTACAAAGTGCTGTAGTGGTTATTGTGCCTCGATTGTTTCTTTAAATAATCTACCAGTGCCCCTCCCAAGATTAGGTTCTGGATCTATGCTTGAACGGCAAGCATTTCTGCCGAACAGGGGTCCAGTATATGCCGCTGAACTGTACATATATACAACCTAGAATTTTTTTTGGTGCCATGTCCAGCTAGGCTTAATCCATTCTTTTATAAACATAGTTTATAGAGAAACTGCTATGTTTACGAATGGGTTAATCCTTCCTCCAATTCCTCTTGTGGCTGTCTCATTGACAGCCGCTAGAGGTGCTTGCGTGATTCTCACTGTGAAAATCACATTGAGAGCACGCAAGCGTCCACAGGAAAGCATTGATAATGCTTTCCTATGCGACCGGCTGAATGCACGCGCAGCTCCTGCCGCGCGTGTGCATTCAGCCGACGGGGAGGATCGGAGGAGGAGAGCTCCCCGCCCAGCGCTGGAAAAAGGTAAGGGGTTTTTCCCCCTTTCCCCCTTCCAGAGCCGGGCGGGAGGGGGACCCTGAGGGTGGAGGCATCCTCAAGGCACTATAGTGCCAGGAAAATGAGTATGTTTTCCTAGCACTATAGTGGTACTTTAAGGAGTTAAACTTCAATTAACAGAGCAGGAGATAAACACTTCTAAAGCAAGTTAACATTTGATTGAAAATGAAACCCTTTTTTTTTCTGCATGCAAGTATCCAAAAAAAGCTTATTTGAAAATATTAAATCAAGGTCCTGTGGTGTTAGAAACTTGATGACAAAAAAAATTAGAGGGACCTACAGTACAACATAATTATATGTAAATACATTCTGCTACAGATCAAGTAATTGGAAGTGGTCACTGGTCTCTGTAGGGTTTTCAGATTAATAAAGAGTATTCAAGAACTATGATAGCCACATTTATGCCATCATAAACAGACAAAGGATTAGCTTTTGTGTAGATCATAGACTGTGATAGGCTCTGCAAACAACTCCAAGCTATGTTAGGTAATTAGAACAAATAATTTCCCTGAGCTCTGAAAATTGTTTTTTTGAGCTTTAATTACCTGTGAGAAGGCTGGATCTAGAAATTCCATGTGCATCTTGCTGTAACTGTATAATGAGCTCTGTAATACTCCTGGCTTATGACAAAAAGACAGAACACAAATGCAATAAACTGGCTGCCAGTCTATATTCTTGCCATTATGCCTGACAGATTACAGATTTGTTTTAAAGATTTCAATGTTAAAAAAGTTAAGTTTATGCACAATCATTCAGAGATAGATAAGATAGATAAGATTAGATAGACAGATAGATAGACTAGATAGATATGATTAGACAGATAGATTTGATAGCTAGCTAGATAGATATATTTATTAGATCTGATAGATAGATATATTTATTAGATCTGATAGATAGATAGATAGCTAGATAGATTAGATAATAGATAGATATATTTATTAGATCAGATAGATAGCTAGCTAGATAGATAGCTAGATAGATAGATTAAATATATATAGAGAGAGAGAGAGAGAGAGAGATTAGATTAGATAGATACTCTTAGATAGATAGATAGATTAAATATATATATATATATATATATATATATATTAGATAGAGAGATATATAGATTAGATTAGATAGATACTCTTAGATAGATAGATAGATAGGTAGATAGATAGATAGTGAGGTTAGAGCTTTGGTACCTCTGGGTTATTGGGGAAAGGGTGAGCTAGTAAAACTGCGACAAATCTGCTGTCGGGATATCTGTCTGCCTATATGAGGAGATTATTATATGTGGGTATCGTCAGCAGGTGAAATGCAGTGTACAACTCATCAACATAAGTATATCTACAATTTACGGAGCCATATTGATTTTTAGAAACAATAAAAATTGCATTGTATCATCTTTTTAACAATTAAATAGAAAGTAAAGTATGCTTGCATAGACCATGTTTCATAAGTTAAGCACGGTGGTGAGGTAGTCTTCATGAGGGTGGCGAGTCACGGGACCCCGTTGCGGTTACTCTCAGGACGAATGGTCGACCGACTATGAGGGCTGTTGCGGTGTGGTGAAGGTGTCCTCAGGTAGTCCCAATTCCCATGGTAGGCGGCGCGCCTTGGAAAGGTGAGTAAGTGAGTGAGTCTTGCCACCCTTTTCAACAATAAGCTTGTGTATGTCCCATTTGTATGGCACATTGCTTTCCCGTAGGTGCTGGGTAAGTTGGCGGAAGGATTGCCTCCAGGCAATGGTATGGCAGGATACATCCCTGTAGAACAACAGTTGGTGACCCTCAAATGCTGTGGTAGGGGAATCTCTGGTCACCACCAGAATGGCACCTCTGTCAGAGTTCCTAACAAATTTAAACAGAATGTCCCTGGATGTCTCAGGTGGGGCTCTAGGGGCCTTAGGCAACCAAAAGCAATGGTCCTTTGTGACCTATTTGCCTGTTTTGAGGGCTGCAGTGTGGAGAGGAGTTGTTGAATAAAATGAGACAATTCTTCAGTAGTTATGGTCTCTGGGACCCCCCTGATTTTCAAATTTCTCGCCTTTATCTTGTCCTCCATGTTAGCCATACGATTGAGCATGTCAGTGCTGCTCTTTTGCTGATCTTTCGACGTGCCCATGTCGTCCTCCATGGTGAAAAGCCTGTCAGTAAGTGTGGCCACCTCCTCCCTCACACCTGCCACATCCACCTGGATAGCCTGTTTGTCATATAGTAGGGCCTTAATATCTGCCTTAGTCGAGGGGGCAGTGTCTCCCCCCGCAGGGGGCTCTTGGGTGGCCGCAGGTACCTTGGAGAAGCTGGGTAGCTGGTCTGGTAGGCTCTCCTTGTCTAATGAGGCCGAGGTGGAGGCTGCCACCGGCGCCATTTTTGTTGGTGCGGGCTTAGCAGGCTGGCGCATGAACGTGCCAATATCCCAGGTTCCTGGGCTCTGATCTTCCCGGAGTTTTTTGGAATGTTTCTCCATCGGCTGTGGAGCAGGCGAGCCCTTAATCTGGGCTCTGATTGCAGATTTTTTAGGTCAGTAGTAGCAATTTTCACAGTGATTTCCCTGGAGCTCCTGCAGCGTGTGTCTGGCTAGTTAGGCAGCTGGCTCCGCCCCTCATGTTATGTAACACTCTTAAGTGTTCAACGACATAACTAATATGCATCTCAAAAAGGCTGTGTTCAATATTCTATATAGCATGCTCAAATCACCCACTTGGAGATAGAATGTCTGATATGATTATTGGTTCAGAAAATGCATGCAAAAACCCAGCACTACAACTCTTTAAGCAACAGACCCGGGTGAACCAGCTTTACCATAGTTTGATGGGAGAGAAAATGTTTGACATTCAGATTTTCTATTAAACACTAAATAGATATTCAAATATTGGGCATTGGTCTGGGCAGGCGTTGAAGGGACACAGTAGGTGTAGCTAAGTCAGAGATGAAACGTTTCCTTAGTTATACCTATTGATAACAGCAATGGGCGATTGTGATAAGCTGATAGTGGTCAGTTTACAATCACCACTGCCCACTGCTGCTCAGAATATTACTTCCTTGATTACCCCAGCAGCAAAGAGGGGATGGGAGGATGGGAACTCTTGATTATGTAACAATGGCACCAGGGACTCTAACCTCTACAATCATGAGATGAAACAACACAGTGCATCACTGTCCCTAAGAGTGTTTTGCTACAGGGTAAGGGTTTGTACTGAATTTCCTTTTATTGACGTTGTGAAATAATAAAAGAAAAGGTTTATTTGTATATTGCTTCATGCAGCATTTTTTTGTAATTTCACAGATTTTACTAAACACATCCATTACAAATGGGATCTTAGGAAAAATGCAGATGTTGCTCCACTACATTTAGCACATTTGTCATCGTTATGTTAATGATGTAGAAGCAAATCCTAGAGGGGGAGAGGGGGATAATATATAAATAATAAATATATTCACATTTTTGGTCAGATGCAGACAAGGATGCTATTGAGTGGTAACCATGCCCCTAAGTCTTTCTAGACTACAGAATCATAACGACCTCTATGAAATCAAACAAAAGCTTGAACACAAGGAAGGGGAAGTTGTGGACCTTTAAATAAAGATGGTTGTGTAACTGTAGCCTAGAAGCAGTGTAATGACCTATAGTCAGAGAAGCTGGAGGTATATGAATAGAATTCTCTGGTAGCAGATGTAGCTGCTAAGGCCGAAAGTGAGGTAGTAGATGTAAGGCCTAAATGTGAGGATTCTGTATTAGTAGTCAAGGAGCATAGTCAGGAACAAGCAAATAGGATAGGACAGATGGCATAGCATCAAAGTCAGAAACAAAACAAGGGTTAGAAATCAGGCACACTATACTATAACAGGCTCACACACGGTAGCTATATATCAAATGAGCACTGAGAAAAGGGAGTCACCTCGGTTTATACCCTTGATCCTGTTACAGTTGCCAGGGTACGGTGAGAACAGAACAACTCAGGGTACGCGTCATATGTATCGATGCAAGTGTGATCATTAACTATTGGTTAAGAATGGCACATTGATCAATTTTCTGCTCTATTCATGTATCAGATATGTGCTGTGGTGTGGATGAATTCATGGAATGGCGGTGGTGGCTGTAGCACATGTTCTGGCCTCAGTCATTAATGGTCTGGTTTGATGGGTATAAAGTATGGACTATTGGATGTGTCCCTTATGGCTAAGTACAGTGCTGGGGGTGTTCCCAGCTCAATATGCAATACCTGTAATATAACTTCTCTAACTAAGTCTAGTGCAGAGTAGATACTAGTTACCTTTGCCTCTCTAGTTCCCCTAACCCCCTCTATTAAATAACTGCCAAGAAAATTATCACTCTAAAGATTAAAAAAGTCATTTTTTTACAGCTCATACCCTCAAACTAACCCAGCTGAGAAAGTACCTGAAGTGTGTGACGTACCAGATGTGTTTTTTTTCCTGTGTTCCCCCTGTTCCTTTGCTTGCCTTAAGAAACAATCAAGATGCAATGTATTTTTGTCTGCTCTGTTAAGCTGTTCATGAAATATCAGTGTACTCTTTTTCTGTTGGTGACGTTTAACCAAAACTCCTGTAAAATAAATATCTGTAAAATAAAAGATTGCTTGATACTAAATAAAGCATAGTTAAACAATAACACGTTTTTGAAATGGGAATTAATTAGAATTAAAACTCTTTAATATCCAACACAAAATAAATTAAAAAAATGGAAAATTGAGTGTGAAACACCATGTCTCTTTGTGTGTGAAGTAAGAAACCCGAGGACCTATACCACACCCTCTATACGAATACCTTCCATTTTCCTAGAACTTGCAATAGGAAGAAGGGGTAGGGTCCTTTGGTGAATCCAACCTGGATTATGCTACCATCTACCTCACCACGCAGAGTAGTGGTCAATTTGTTCTCTGGTTAACAGGAATCCAGAGGATTGCCATTCACCTTGCTTTTGGAAATAAACATTTCATTGGACTCTTCCTACCTCTTATGGATCTTGAGATCGTTGTTCTTTGTTTTCATGTTTTCTTTTTGCGTTTTAGCAGATTTTTCCTTTTGTGTTGGTTCTGCAAAGGACTTCTTGGAATGAGCCAAAATCAGTTTTGTGAGAATAAGTAGTTAACACGCAGCAAGTTGTGGTGACATTATATGCCTCAGTTAAAAAATATGCAGTAACAACTAATCTACATGTTGTTTGCCAATGATCAATAGAAGATTTCATATTTAAGTTTAACCCCTTAAGGACCAAACGTCTGGAATAAAATGGAATCATGACATGTCACACATGTCATGTGTCCTTAAGGGGTTAAAGTGGTAAAAACTATAGAATTATATGAATTAAACTACTATTTTTCCATTTAAATATACTTTTAACATGTCTGAAGGTGAGTTTTATTGCCTTCTAGAAAGCTTTATTTGGAGATCATGTGTTTAAGTGATAATATATGTGTGATCGTTGACTCAATACTCAATTATAATATTAAGCCTGACAACTGACAGGCTTATTCACTAAATATATATAAACCGCTGGGAATTCAAAGCAAATTCAAAGTAAATTTAAAAGTTTAGGCAAAATAGCAAATTTGAAAAGCTCGACAAGTATGCTATGTTTCAGTTTGGCTATTTTGGAATAACATTTGAAATTAAGTTTAAATTCATGATAATTTACTCTCAAATGAATAACGATATATGTATCGTCAAGCACTGTCTAAACATGTTGTGTTGAGATGAGGAATTGGAGCAAGTTAAGGCGGTGAAGTCAAAATCTAAAGCTATTGCTCTATTATGATATCATATGTGTAGTTTTGCTTGTATCATCACTCTGTGAGAAGTACACAGGAGTCACAGTAATTCTTATTTCCATTTGCTAAGCAGCTTATTTTACACATTTGTTTAAGTTCCTCTCTTTCATGTTTAATTGGGCCACTTTCCAGCCTTATTAGTTAAATGAATTGACGGGATTTCTCAAGAAATTATTATGGTTAATCACTAAATAGAAGGGTGGTGTCCCATTTATTAAAAATAAATAGACACTTGGCTTTGATAATAATAACTGTATTTTTCTAGGTTCTAAATCCTGAATCCAATAACCTTTACAGATTTGGATTTCCGCCACTAAAGGAGATTACTAATACTGTGGTAATTAAAAATAGTCCTGTTACAGTGAAATATATAATGGTGCACAGATCCCAGAAACGATTGAGTACTATTAGTTTATGATGCTACTTTACTGATATATTGAATATTAGTGAAACCAAGAAAAGCATTTTTAGGACATTTTTTGCTGATCTACAAATAGTGGGCTTTAATGCCATTTGGACGGTACTGAATGGTATTATATGTTCTGCAGTTTTCGTGTGACAAGGATTAAATACCTGCTCACACCAGGGAGACCCAGGTACCAATCAGTACTTAGGGCTACTCGCTGTCAGTCCTTTAAATTACTCAGCCATTGTGATTCTCAGAAGAAGAAACCCAGGTTCGGCAAAGACCATGATAGGGCCTTCCTGAATGCTCCCCTGCCAACAGTGATCAGCAATGGACTTATCCAACTGTTCAGCATTAATCACTATGTTATCAGCAAGTACAGAAAGCATCAGTTGCTATATAAGAGGGAGATCTTCCTCTCATGCTACAATATCCCAGTACAGAATGCTAACAGAGTGCTCTATACTGCGTGAGCTGGGAAAACCCTATGCTGATGTCAGGGTAAGGATTTGAGCTAGTGTTAGTATTAATGTTAGGGTAGGGAAATGGTAGGATAGGGTTTGTATAGGCTAAGGGTTAATGTTGAGTTGGGGTAATGCTGTTTTAAGGTTAGAAATAGTGTAGGGTTAGAGTTATAGGTAAGGTTAGGGTATGTTATAGTAGGTGTATAGTCAGAAATAGTGTAGGGTTACAGTTATAGGTAAGGTTAGGGTATGTTATAGTAGGTGTATAGTTAGAGATAGTGTGGGGTTAGGGTTGATGGTAACTGTCAACAACTTAGTTAAATTTTAGACATATGAGACATTGAACAATCAGAACTCATACATTAATCTATTTCAAGTTCTTTTTCTAGATTTACTCAATATGTAAAACTTATAATAAGCAAAACTGTGATTTTTTCCCCCCATTACCTCCCCCTCCCAATTGTTAATTAGTACACACATAGGATATTAAAATTAAATAAAGGAATATGTGTGAATGCAGAGGTATGCATGAGCAGCTATGTGAGAATACAGTGCAGTATTTTTTGTCGTAAGTGTGTAATTCTTTCTCTTCCCCACTTGACTCTCGCTCTATCCCCCAAAGATACACTTATACCTCTCTCCCACACACTTCAATCCCTCAGTCTATCCCTCCATCCAGAGTGTTTCCCTCCACCCCAAGCAACCTTCCCCTATAGTCCCCTTTGCACATTTGGTCTGAAAAGCAGTGGGTTGTCACCCCCTTCTCTCTGACAAGACTAGCTACTATGCCCATGTTCTGTTTGTGGAG